TTCCCTACTTCATAGGGATACTGATAGATCTGTTAGCAACTGAGAGGTGCTCACACACTACAGCAATGTGACCCCCACAGAAAGCTGGATATGGACCAGCTGTGATCATATTCCAGACTGGTACCACTAGGTCACAGTCAGTGCAGATAACATAGTAAAACCAGACCAGGCCCTGCCACTGAGAGCTATCTAAAAGCACTGGCAGCTGGAGCCTGGAGGAAGGCAACAACCGGATGCTGCACGGGGATAGGGGACAACTACAGCTGGATTATGTACAACCAATATAATTAGATTTAAAAATATGGTTAATTTCCCTGCAGGCCACCACAGCAATTGCATTGGGCTGAGAGAGAAAATTGCCTTTCTTGGAGTACAAGTAAATCTCTGCTGGGGATTCCCTCAAGTGGGAGAATTTTCCCTCCCCAAATGCTTTGTTTTAGCAGTGTCATCTTCTCTAAAGCCTCCTCCAGATGCATGCAGAATACCTAAGCAGATTAGATGGAAATCATAGGGACAAAAGCCTCATCACATCACACCCCTCTGGCCTCGTATCTGCCAGCTCCTGCTGTATCAGCCCCACCCGGGTCCTCCCTAGTCTGAAATCTCATTTCGGGAAGTGGCTGATGCAGAATGCGTCCAACCGGGTGCTCGGGAGTAGGGTTGGGAGTGTGGCAGGGGAGAATGGGTAGGTGGCCTGACAAGGCAGTTGGCCAGAAGATAGCCTTCCCAGCCCTAGATTTCAGAAACGTTTCCCTTCCTGAATGAAATCAACTCAAGATGTTTAAAGGGTTTTCTTGTGGCTAGCCAGAGAGAGGAAATATTTGGCCACCTCAGAATGGCCAACAGCCCACTAGTTCTGGCTGTAATTCATCCCAGATGTAGGAAAACACAAATGTCCTTGATGTGCCTGATTCTGACTAGGAACTTGCACCTGGCTCTTGCCAGGTGACTGATCTCTAGCCCAGTGAACAGTTCTACATAGTGGAACAGCTCTAACAGGAACAAGTGAGAAAAGACCCCTCGTTCCCCCTACTAAATAGCCAGTATCCTAGTGGCCAGGGCACTCACTTGGGGAGTCAGAGTCCCAGGGAAAGTGTCAACAAAATCAGTTTTCCAATTAAACTAGCATTGGAAATTCCTCCCTGCCTTCCTGAGGAGATCAGCTGATGATGGTATGGAGCACGAGGCTTACCCACCCCTCCTTGACCACGAATGAGTACAAAATCTAGTAACAGCATCTGGCTTCATCACCTCCTACCTCTTCCTTCCTCAGGTCTCACCTGCATTGAGAATGGCTTTGACTCCAACAGTTGCTGGCCAGCCACCGAGATGGCTACAGCATTGCCCCCCTAACACAGACAAGGAAGACTGAGTTACATAAGGAGAGTTCCTGCTTGGACTGTAGAGTGTCTGGGACAAGGAGAGTCACTATCTGCCTGTAGAGATCCTAGTGTGATGCAGCCCTAACTTCAGTTATAAAAAGGAGATGGCATAGGTCCAGCTATATCAGGTGCTCATTTCCAGTTGCTGAACTAGGAGCAAATTTTCAGGGCAGAAAAGGCCGTAGGGAATTGACACGTTGAAAATATGCTCCTTGTCAGGAATCACCTTGGTTTTCTTCTCACCTGAGTGGCAATAAGTTTCATCATTCAATCCTGGATTCTCTTAGCCTGATGGTCATGTTTCTATTTCTTTCCTTTTTAAGCCTGACTTAGGAGTTTCGGAGGGGTCAGGGTATATAGTGTCACATACCCATCCATGAGGTATTCCCACAGCGCTGAGTTTCTCCCTGCTGTCCCATTGCTTGTGTCAAGGAAGAAACCAAGGTTTGCTCTGGGATGACTCCTCATCCCCATGAACCTGCAGCTCTACTGCCCTTTCACCAGACCCAACAGGGGAATCTTTGCCATCTCTAGGTACTTTCCCCTTGAGTTGGGAAAAAATCCTAGGTCTTTCCCCACCTCCATAGAAGGGGCTAGCCTGGAATATCTCTGGCTCTGATCCACAAGGTAACAAAACAATAAAAGGGTCCATTATGGAGAACAGAATTGTCCTTGAAGCTGGAAAGCCTTTTTTTCTTTTTTTAAATGTTGTATCCCGAGCCAAATCAATTCTGAATTCTATCAACTAAGTGGAGCTCAGTTATTCAAGCCTGTGTGGTGCTACCACCAGCAAGTATCCTACCTCCCAGACTCTTCAGCCTGCGGCTTCAGATACTCCCAGATCCATGGCAGGCATCCTGTGTGCCACCCAGGGGTCTTGGAGTTCAGATACCCCCTACTCTCATTTTCCCCTAGCCAAAAGACCAAAGGAGCAAGCTAAAGGGAGAGTCTGAGAGCATTCCCCCATCACTATACATGATGTAGCAGAGTTCCTCCCATTGGGAGGCTTTAGTAGACTCTCGCAGGGGTGCTGCCAGCAGTGTAATGGACAGGTCTCTACCCTCAACTATGCCAAGTCATTCAAGGCTGAGAAGAAGGGGATCTCCCCTGCCAGGTCAGTAAAAACACCTAGGCCAAAACCATCACCATGGCATCTCTCTTGCCACGTAAGTGTAGAAGATGGACAGCCTTTTCTTTTCTTTCTTTCTTTTTTGTTTAAAAAAAAAATATTTCTCTCTCTCTCTATATACATCTGCTATCATAAATTTTCCATTGCACCCTCAAACTGCATTAAGAAACCTGTGCACCCATTACA